TACTAATTATACTTGTTATACTTCTACTACTGCTACCTTGCAACACTGAATTTTGACAACAACTGTGTGAACTCTGCATTCCTTGAGCTGTAAGTTTGTATTTCTCCCATAATCATGTTATCAGTTTGTGTCTAGGAATCAAGTACTTCCCCCACAACATCCTTCACCATGTGACTCTTTCAGCTCTTGGCCTGATAGATTTTCACACAGTTTTGACCGAGTATTTTGACACCATTTTACCATCCCAGCTAAGCAATTCATCATCTTCTGGCATGAGCCTAAACTAGAACTAGGATCTTACTCTGAAGAGTTTCCTTCAGAGCCAAGATTATGTTTGTGTCTCTGCTAGCTCCCATATCGATCTACCTTTAAGACTTTTTCATATTTTTTATTATTAATACTGACACGTATCGGTTATATCTCATATGACCACTTGTTGAACCGAGTATAAATCAGTTTAACAACCTTGGTAATACAAGACAATTTGATTCTCTTATGTTTACTAAAAGAGTTATTCAAATTACCTACCGTACCCCGAACAATTGAAAGTGCCTCAAACCAAATTAATTCGAAAATCTCCAAATCAAAATACTCCATCCAAATTTTTTGTGTCAAACCAGTAAATTTCATCCAATTATCTCCAAATCAAACAATTAAATTAATTTGATCGTTAAAATTACTCGCCAAACCAGCCCTTTCATTTGAGTTGAGTGACCTTATTTTGTTTTTAGCCCGTGACGCATATACTACAAAGAAAAACTTATCACAATCTTCACCTCTTCGGACCTGCTTCTCCTCCCTCTCTTCTCACTCTGGCTGGAGAGAAAACCAACACAGGAAAAGGGGAAAACCTCAGCACCACAGCATTGAGAAGAGAACCTCCGGGGAAAAGGGTGTCTGGATTCACCTCCTGTCCCTTCATTTTCCTCTCTCCGAGGATTTTACATGGTGCGGATTGTTCCCATGGCCGCCTCAATCCGTCCGTCCCTCTCTTCCTCTTTCATACTCTGCAACAACACCGGCACTTCTCGCTCCACCACCGCCGTTTCTCTTAATTCATTCGCCTCCCCTTCGTCCCTGCGATTGCCTTCCCTCTCCAGCGGTAATCCCGCTCTCCACCACTTTCGGATTCCCGTGGCCGTCGGGCGGTGGTGCTGAAAGATTCCTTCTTTTTTTTTTCCTGATTCTTTGCTGCAGTGGTTTTGGTATTCTTGCCTCATTACAACTCTGTGTTCATTCCGTCGTTTCAGATTCGGTTTTAATTATAAGATGCTTCATTATCGGAACTGGGTTGTATGCATTCGGATATTAGGGAATTTTGTGTAAGATTGATTAGCTGGAAAGGTTTCCATATTATGGCTTTTTATGATCTTGAAGTTAGAACTGGGGTTCTGTTTAGTGGGTGATGAAATTATAATGCAGAATTTGATAATTGAGTCAGATTCCATGATTATAAGTTCGTTCCTTCTTGAACCTGGAGTCATGTATGTTGACTTCTGAGCAATGTAATGGGCAGACGTATTACAGGAGCGGGCACATAATGAATTCCATCTGGGCAGTATACTACTTTACGATTCCAAATTTCTCATATTGTCGCAAAAGTGACATGTCAAGTTGAATGATGCAGTCTTAGTTAATCTGTAACTTCATTTTGTTATATTGGCTGCTGTAATTTATTCTATAATAGCATGGCACAGGTTCAAAAACTTATAAATTTTTATTCGTGATGCAGCTATTCGACAGTCGGAGCTATTTGGCTTGAAACCCTCTAAACCATGGAGACAAGGATGCACCAGCCTCAGGGTTGCTGCAGCTGGAAATATGGCACAAGCTAGCACAACTACAACCCCAGAAAATGCACTCGAGTGGGTCAAGCAGGATAAACGTCGAATGTTACATGTTGTTTATCGTGTTGGGGATTTGGACAGAACCATAAAGTATATTTTGGAAACTTGAGTTCCTTTAAAGATCATATTTAGGCTCTGTATTTCACAAAGAATTCCTGATGTCTGGTTTCGTGTCCAAACGAACTATTTACTCTCTGCAGATTCTACACGGAGTGTTTGGGGATGAAGCTGCTGAGAAAGCGGGACATACCAGAGGAGAGATACACAAATGCCTTTCTTGGATATGGACCTGAAGATTCCCAATTTGTCATAGAGCTTACATACAGTAAGCTGTGTTACTGCTCAAACGCATTTAACCTCTAAGATCCTGAATAATTGCTCTTGTAGAAACCTATAATGGATCTTCATGTTGGTTTATGTTATCAGATTACGGCATTGACAAGTATGACATTGGGACTGGATTTGGACATTTTGGCATTGCAGTCGAGGATGTAAGCTTCAATTAGGTTCTGAAATGCTTTAAATTCAGCTCATTACTTCAAATTTCTATGCCCCAAGATTATGATTCGCCGTTTCTTTGACATGTTTTGGGCTTTTATGGCTGGATGCTTATGTATATCCTGCTTCGGATAGGTTACCAAGACTGTGGAACTCATAAAGGCGAAGGGTGGCAAAGTAACTAGGGAGCCTGGTCCTGTTAAAGGAGGCAGTACAGTGATTGCATTTATTGAAGATCCCGATGGCTATAAGTTTGAACTCTTGGAAAGAGGGCCTACACCAGAGCCTCTTTGTCAGGTGATGCTTCGCGTTGGTGACCTAGATCGATCCATTAATTTCTATGAGAAGGTCAGAATTACCTTGCTGGACCATTCATTCCTTTGCTTTACTCTTATACTTTTGAGTCATGTTGTATCATATCATTTCATTAGTTCTAGTTAGTCATGTGACTTAAACATTGATATTATCCTTTGAGTACAGGCTTTTGGTATGGAGCTTCTCCGCAAACGTGATAATGCAGAATACAAGGTAAATTTGGGCAGTTAACTGAATGAGCTGGATTCTGTACATTTATTAAATTGCATTCTAACTCGGTAAATGACGGATAAAGCATGAGTCAGGATATAAGCATATCCACTCCTCCCAACACTAGCTCCACAAAGTTGAGGAATCCAGCAAGATAAAGCTTTCGTCCTGACTGACTTTTATCTGTTAGGAATCCAGCAAAATAAATCTTTGTATTCAGCAAGTATATGATGCGACAGGGTACTTGTCACATCATAGCTGTCTGCAATAGGCTCGAAGTTCTTTTTATGATGATCATGGTAGAGAACTTCAATTATGGAGGAGGGATTGATGGGTGACTTTATTGTGCCAAGCAGAGAGCTTTTTGTTTCTAAAGCAAATGGGATCTGCCCATCTTATTATTATTAGAGGATGACTAGTGTGCCCATTTTGACTATATTCAGAATTATTGACGTCGAAGAATAACTCTCGTTATCTATGCTTGGTGCCACATAGTAGCTCATGATCCTCTTACTTACCTGTAGTTCTTTTGCTGAAAATATTCTTTTCTATTTGTGATTACTTTAGTATGTAAATGTGCATTTTGTCTAGAATGTAGATGTCTTCCAATAGAGTGCTTCAAAGGTTTCCAATTTAAGGACCTATTGCCTAATTAGTAGCGTTTGGTAATGTGCCAGACCGTGGAACCGTGATGATGTATTTGTGCAGACAGTACTCCTAGACATCATAAATATATCCTCTGAAAACATCTTACGAGCTGTTTTTGTCTTACATTGCTGTTATCAGTATACTATCGCAATGATGGGTTACGGGCCTGAAGATAAAAGTACAGTGCTAGAGTTGACGTATAATTATGGAGTCACTGAATATGAGAAGGGAAATGCTTATGGTCAGGTAACATCTTCACTATTCTATGTTTTAAGTTTTAACAAGCCTGTCAAGAGAACAACTTGGTTTGGATAGTAACTCTTGTAATTGGGAACTGGGAGCTGATCCCCTTCTACTGTAACAGATTGCCATAGGCACAGATGATGTTTATAAGACTGCAGAAGCAGTTAAACTCTTTGGCGGGAAGATAACTCGGGAACCAGGACCTTTGCCTGGTATCAATACCAAGATCACTGCCTGCTTGGATCCTGATGGTTGGAAGACGGTATGCTCTCATTATCTCCTTCCACCTGAACCTTGATCTGTTAGACTTAAGAACCGGTTGTGGTCAGTTAACCACCAAACTAAACTAGAGGGTGTAATCAGCAACAGAGAACAGTAAAGATGACGTTATAGGATGATTTGAAACTTCACTGTGCTCTTGAAACCCAGCCCTTGTTCTAAGCCTCTGATTTCTTCTGGTTCCTTATCTGCAGGTGTTTGTGGATAACACTGATTTCATCAAAGAATTGGAGTGAGCTTTGGATGCACACCAATGTATCTGATTCATCAACCCCAGGTTAGAGGACCGTGTGCCACTAGACGAATGTTGCCAGTGACAGAACATTGAGATGAAAGGACCCAAAAAACGCCCATTTTGTAGATAAGGTAAGGTAGTTCCATTAAGACAGCGGTAGCAATAAAAACCTGGCGATAGATAGATTCTTTAGCAGCAGCAAGCAAAGGGAGTCGAGAACCGTCCGTTTTGGCTTTTTCATTTCAGCATATGGTTTGAGTACAAGGAAGATTTGTTGAGAAGTTCGTTATATACCTCTCCTCTCTTTTCTGTATTGTAAAATTCCATTCTGAAGCCCTGTTGCTTGTTCTACTAACAAGGATATGATAAGTTACATTGCTAGCCTCCAGAAATGTACATTGCCAAACTTATAATGAGATTATTCGGTATGGCGTACGAAGTAGTTGGTGCTCTCTTTCGGTCTTTTTGTACCCCGTATTTCGCTATGGTTCTTGTTTCGTGACATTGTGCCCAAATGCCTCATTACAAAAACGAGCCATTGGTTGCGAAGGCTGATCTGTCATTTTGTCTCCGAGCCAAATTTTGGCGCCATAAAGTTTATGGTTGACTGCCTAATCAGTTTGCTTAAGAATTTTTTATTTTATAATAATATCTGTTCTTTTTATTAGTATAATAATACAAGTCCGAATGATTGAGAGTATAGAAGAGGAATAGAAGATTTCTCCTGATTTCTCGGAGGGCGACTGCAAGGCGATCTGCGGCTAGGGTTCCAAACGGATGTCGGCGGACGTTGTGCCGCCGGCCGGGGGGAAGCTGTCATCTCCCCCACCGCTCGAGGCGGTTGCCGGCCAACGTAGGCCGCCTCTGGCATCTTCATCACCAAACCCGAAAGGAGATCGGGAGGCACAACATACCAAAAAGAGGGCGAAACCGACGACCCCGAACAACCATATGGGAACAGAGGGCGTGCCTAGCCGGGAGGAAGCTGCCGACCGGAGATCACCACCGCTCAGCCCGAGACCAAACGTCTGGTCGCAGGGGACGGGGGCGGCTCGGAGACTCTTTGGCGGCGAGGGCCGCATGGACGAGTGGTACACTGCTGACTTCGATAGCGAGGACACCGCAGCGGCGATGCGTCAGGACGGCCTGGACGAGGGTTTTGTTGGAGAGGATGACCCCATGTGCCCGACAATTTACTTCACGACGGCGGAAGAACGTACGTACTGTCGCAACTTCCGGTCTGCTCTCGTCGTTAAAGCATTGGGTCGGACAGTGTCTTACACGGCGGTCTCACTACGGTTGAACACTATCTGGGCCAAGGCAGGAGGGATTCAAGTCACGTCCATGAAGAACAACTATTTTCTGGTCCACTTTACCAGTGGCCTTGACTACGACCGGGCGGTCACGAATGGTCCATGGATGATCGGACAAAACTACCTTTCGGTGCATATGTGGGACAGTGATTTCGACCCTTACAACCATGAAGTCTCCTCGACTCTAATTTGGGCCCGGCTGCTGGAAATTCCCATTCAGTATTTTCATGAGGATGTTGTAATGCGAATTGGTCGACGCATCGGAAGACCTATTCGAATAGACGAGGCCACACGCACAGCAGCACGTAGTGACTACGCCCGAGTTTGTGTGCAGGTGGATCTCACGAAACCACTGCTCTCGAAGTTCTCCATCAAGGGCAAGCGATACTTTATCCAGTACGAAGGCTTGGAGAAAATATGCTTGAACTGCGGGACATACGCTGAGCGGGGTGCATGCTACTGTAGCCGAACGCAAGCACCAATGGAAGCTGAAGATGTTGAAACTGAAACCACTCCCCCGCCTTCACAACCAGAGAATCTCTATGGGGAGTGGATGATAGCTAAACGCAAACCCCGCCCCTCCAAGAAAGAGGTGGGGACAAGTTCAAACCGGGGAGGACCGATCGTCGACAAAGTGCAAAAGAGGGCAGGGGGATCGAGGTTTGCGGCTTTGGACGAGGAGCCCGACTCGCACAGGGCGACATCCGAGGCCGAGACTGATACCCGCGAGCCGAACAAGTCCAAGCAGCAGCGTAACCAGAGCCGGAACAAACACACCAAGGTGCAAGAACAAGGAACACCTGCTTCGAAGGAGAGCGGTCCAACCAATGGAACCTGGGAGCCAAACCCGAAGCCTACACAAGCTGCGGGGAACGGAAGTCACTCACGATTGTCCGAGCACGTTGAGACCGACCAGGCGATGCATGAAGCCCACGCTCGCATGGAGGACGTGGTCTCGGATAAGCCTCCCATGCAAAGGGGTGGGGAGGCACTGGAACCTCAAGTCCCTTCATCGATCACCACCGTCTGTAATGGCCGCCCACCCGACATCGGCTCGGAAAGTCACCCAATGAACTCCGGGCCTCCGGACGAGAGCATGAAGGAACAATCTTCGGGGACACACAGCGACGGGATCCACCTGTCGAACGCATAACTCAAGGGAGTTTCTTTCCAACCCTCTTTTTTATGGATTATAAAATTTTTTCATGGAACTGTAGGGGAGCAGGGGGCAAGGGTTTTTTACATGCTTTTCGTGAGTATCGTAGGAAATTTAAACCCCAAATTGTGATTATTTTGGAACCTAGAATCAGTGGGGACCGTGCTTTGAAAGTCATTCGAGACATGGGTTTCGATAACGAACTTGTAGTTGATGCAATTGGGTTTTCTAGGGGAATTTGGGTTAGTTGGAATTCGAATGACCTTACCATCACTAGAATTCACACTCACCATCAGTGTCTCCATATGCAGGTACAGGGGCGGATGCAGCAAGATGTTGCATGGCAGCTATCGGCAGTTTATGGTTGCCCTGCACCGGTTCAACGGCGTGAACTATGGGACTTCTTACGGTCCATTACTGAAGGGATGACCCAGCCCTGGCTTTTGGTGGGCGATTTCAACTCTATCATCAGCCCATCTGAAAAGCTATGGGGTGCCCCGTTTGATGCATCCCGAATTCGTGATTTCCAGGATGTAATTCAAGATACTGAGCTGATAGACTTGGGTTTCGTTGGCCCGGCTACACATGGTTCAGGACGGGTCTCCGAGAAAGGCTTGATCGGGGCATGGCAAACAATGCTTGGATCTCAGCTTTTCCAGAAACAGTGGTTAGGCACCTGCCGCGCATGAACAAATCGGATCACAGGCCACTTCTAGTTTCATTAAGAGAGCTTCACACTCTCGCCGGACCCAAGCCTTTCCGTTTCTTGGCAGCCTGGCTTACACATGAGAATTTTTGGGAAATGATGGATGAAGCTTGGGAAAAGGGCCACTCCTTCACATCCTCGGCAGAAGCCTTCGCCCAGAATGCTAGAGTGTGGAACAGAAATGTTTTCGGCCATGTTACTAGGAGGAAAGATAATCTACTTCGCCGCATTGAAGAACTAGAGCAGAATGGTAATGGGACTGGGAACTCCGCTCAGCTCCAGCAAGCTCAGGAGGAGCTCGAATTAGTACTCTTTCAAGAAGAACTTCTCTGGTGTCAGAAATCCAGGCTCGAGTGGATTAGCTCGGGAGACAAGAACACGACATATTTCCACGCCAGGACCCTCAGGAGAAGGAGCAGGAACCGGGTGACTATGCTGAAGGATGATGCGGGTAATTGGATCGAAGATCAGGCCTTGCTCCTGGAAATGGCACGAGTCTTCTTCAGCCAGCTATACATGGATGGGGGGGGGGATCCACCTGCCCTCCAGGGGAATTTTCCATCCCTCGAGCCCGCGAGGTGGCAACCGCTCGCCGCAACGCCGAATATGGAGGAAATTCGCGGTGCTATTCAGGCTATGGGTCCTCTCAAGGCACCGGGGAAGGATGGTCTCAACCCAATCTTTTTCCAAAAATGCTGGGAGACGGTTGGTCAGTCGCTTACGCAACTGGCCCTCGACTGCTGGGATAATCCGGAGAAGATTAAAGAAGTGAACTCCACAATTCTGGTCCTGATCCCGAAGGTGAAGCAACCAACCACCATCGATCAATTCAGGCCCATCAGTTTGTGTAATGTGGCCTATAAAGTGGTTACCAAGTGTCTGGCAGAACGACTTAAGAATTTAATGCCATCCCTGGTCCATGAAACCCAGACTAGTTTTGTCCCTGGCCGACATATCACCGATAACATATGCATCTTGCAGGAAGTGATACATTCGATGAGGGCTCGAAGGGGAAGGAGAGGTTGGATGGTATTGAAAGTGGATCTAGCGAAGGCCTATGACCGAATAAGATGGGGGTTTGTCAAAGATACCTTAATTGCTGCAGGGGCCCCCATCAACTTCGTTGACCTGACCATGGCGTGCATATCATCGGCTTCCATGCAAATCCAATGGAACAGGGGGCTAACGGAGCACTTTCAGCCTTCTAGAGGGCTCCGACAGGGGTGCCCTCTGTCCCCATACTTGTTCACGTTCTGCATGGAAAGGCTGGGGCACATCATTGATGACGCTGTACGGGGGGGGGGGGGGGGGGGCAGATGGAAACCGATTCAGCTTTCGCAGGCAGGACCAGCACTCTCTCATCTCTTCTTTGCGGATGATCTGATCTTGTTTGGGGAGGCATCCAGAGCCCAGGTGCAGGTGATAAATGACTGCTTCGAGCAGTTCGGGGCTTCGTCGGGACAGCAAGTCAGTAGGCCAAAGTCTCGAGTATTTTTCTCAGCTAACACCACCACAGAATGTCGGAATAGCTTGAGTGATGAGCTTCAGATCCCGGTTACTCAGAATTTGGGAAGATACCTGGGTGTCCCGGTCATTCATGATCGGGTGTCGAAGGCCACGTTCCAGCAACTAATTGACAGGATTGACACCCGCCTGGCAGGATGGAAAGCGTCCACGCTATCTCTAGCAGGACGGATCACTCTCGCTCAGTCAGTGTTGGCCTCCCTCCCGGCCTATACAATGCAGACAACCTTCCTCCCCGCTAGTGTGAGGGAGTATATTGATAGGAAGATAAGAGCTTTTATCTGGGGTAGCACCGACCAGGGCCGCAAAATCCACCTTGTTGACTGGGAAACGCTTTGCAGACCGAAAGATGAAGGGGGTCTGGGGCTGAGGGACTCTACCAGAACCAATGAAGCCTACATGCTGAAAATTGCCTGGAGGATGATCACTAAACCAGACGAGCTATGGGCCAGGGTCATCCTCTCGAAGTACTCGAGGAATACAACAGATGGCAGGTACTTTATCACCACTGGGCGGCTCTCGAACCTCTGGAGAGGAGTGCTGCGGGTGGCACATTTAACGGAGGAGGCGACGGCGTGGAACGTGAGGAATGGTCTCACAGCCAAGTTTTGGAGCGATCGGTGGTTGGACGACACCACCACCCTCAAAGATCACGTGCAGAACCTTCCCCCGGCGCTGCTCAACATGCCTGTCGCCGACTTTGTGCTCAATGGTAAGTGGAACATGGAGTTTCTTCAATACTACTTACCCCAGCCGCTTGTTTTGCAGGTTATGCTCCATCCTGTCCCGACGGAGGCGGAAGATGACGTGCGGGTATGGCGTTTCACCCCAAATGGAGAATTCACCTTGCGCACGACGTATGATCTGACGGACACCACGGCGGACCAAACTCCTGGCCAGCCTATCTGGCGATCGTTGTGGAGAACGCCGACTCTGCAGAGAATCTGGGCATTCCTTTGGCTGCTGAACCACGACCGGCTGCTGACGAATGCAGAGAGAGGAAGGAGGCACCTAACGACCGACACCAGCTGCAGGATCTGTGGAGGAGGCCCAGAAACGACGCTGCATGTTCTCCGGGATTGTCCCTACGCCCGAGCGACATGGGCGGAACTACTAGGAGAGGAGCCTGATTCTCGATTCTTCGAGACAGATATACACAGGTGGGCTCTGTACTACATTTCTGATAAGAGTGATATCGTCGACAACACTTTTTTTGCAGGGACATGTTGGCTACTGTGGAAGAATCGGAATGGCTACGTGTTCCGAGGGGAGCTGAAGACTCATACACAAATCCAGTTCCAAGCAAAACAGCTCCGAGACCAGACCATTCAAGCACTCGAGAAGGAGAATTTTTTTTTTCGGAGGAGGGAGGATCCGAGAGCAGTGCCAAATTGGCTGGCAACCACCGGCGCAGGACTGGGTCTGTGTCAATACAGATGGCTCAGTCACCTTCTCTCCTAAGAGCACGAGCTGCGAAGGCATCATGCGGGGGAGTGATGGCCGTTTTCTCAAAGCATTCACTGCGAACCTTGGAGGGGGTTCGATCACTCGTGCAGAGCTGGCTGGTATTGTGTATGGGTTGGACCTCGCCTGGGAACAGGGAGCCAGGAAGGTGATTCTACAGACTGACTCGTCCACTGCAAAGAACCTGATAGACAAGGCGTCTCCGAGACACACGCACTTCACTCAGGTCGCAGAGATCAGACAGAGACTTAACCGCAACTGGGCCGTTAGGATTGATCATGTATTCCGCGAAGCAAACTTCGCCGCGGATTATTTGGCTTCTGTGGGTCACTCCCGTTCAATTGGGGTGCATATTTTAGACAGGCCTGACACTAAACTTCTGTACTGGCTGTTTTTTTATCGTGTGGGGGGTGAGACTCCCCGCTTTGTTCGTGCTTAATAAAGGTTAGGGCGCCCTTAGCACCCTGTTCTTACAAAAAAAAAAAGCATCCAAGTCCAAAACATCAAGGATAAATATGGGTGGCCTACTAATCCAATCTTTCTGGCCCTCCCAATTACAATTCATATGGGCTAAGGTATGGGCTGCTCTATTTCCGGCCCGTTTAACGAATTGCCATTTGACCCGACCAATCCTATCTGCTTCCTCCTTTAGGTCCTTCACCATCACCCCCGCTTCCAGCTCCGTCATTTCCTCACCTACCAGCTTGAAGATAGCAGTTTGGCAGTCCGATTCAACTATTGCCTGCCTTCTTCCCAATTTCTCCATCAAACTCAGACCCAGCCTCATCGCACAAAGTTCTGCTAGCTCCGCCGGCCATTGGACTCTCTCCCGGCTGATAGACGCGCCGAGGAAGACTCCTCCCTCATCCCGCGCCACCGCTCCATATCCGCTTCCTTTCCCAACGAAGGTCGCCGCATCGACATTCACTTTTATCCAATCCGCTGGTGGTCTCGTCCAGGTAACTGCTTCCTCTGCCTTTTCTTTCATTTCACCTTCGTGATAGGATTTTAATTCCTCCCAATGGCTTAGGGCTTTCCCCACGATTTCCCATTCTTCCATCTTGCTGTTGTTGAACATTTGGTTGTTGCACTCGTTCCATAGATACCATAGGATCATCCCCATTTGCTCGACCAACTCATCGTCTCCTTTTTCCATAACTTCACACCACCATGATCCACAGGATAGGTCTTCCTCCATTTCGAAAAGGCACTTGAATTCAGTAGGTCTCCACACCCTGCTAGCCCATTGGCATTTCTTGAAAATGTGTTCCTGGGTTTCTTTTAGATTGCAGAAAGGACATTCAGTTGCAACATCTGTTTCTTTTCCGCTATATTCTTTCCAGTGGGTAGAATGTTGTGTATCATTCTCCATAGGAAGATCTTGACTTTCGGAGGTATCTTCAGTTTCCACAGCCTTTTCTCGTCCATGGGGTCATAAAATATCACCTCCTCAGGCAGCTCTACCTCTTCATTTCCTTCCACACTCTCTTCCACCTGCGTCCTGTTCTGCTGGTTGTGTTTGTACCAGAACTTGTATGCCGATTTGACTGAGTACCTACCATTTTTCTCATAGCTCCAGACCTGCACATCATTTGAGGGTTGCCTAGGAATGGGGATGCTTTCAATTCGTGCTCTATCACGATGTTGAGCATGTGTTGGAGGAGGTTTCGTTTCCAGGTCCTTGTTTCGATATCCATCAACTCTAAGACCATGGTCATTTCACTCTGTGGGGGTGATGTCACCTTATATTTATCCTCCTGAGCTTCAGGGATCCATTTGTCCCTCCATATCTCCACCTTTTCACCATTTCCCACCCTCCATCTCAGCCCTTCCCGCACCATTTCCTGAGCTGTGAGCAGACTCCGCCAGGTATAGCTAGGGTTGTTTCCCAATTCGGCTTGCATTACCTCCCCATTAGGGTAGTATTTGGCCTTGAGAACCCTTGCTGCTAACGAGTCTGGATTCATCATTAAGTTCCAGAGCTGTTTCCCTAACATGGCCAGGTTGAAAATCTTTAGGTCTTTAAACCCTATACCTCCCTCTTCCTTTGGTCTACATAGTTTCTTCCAGCTTTTCCAAGGTATTCTTTTCCCCTCTTTGCGCTGTCCCCACCAGAAGCTCGATACAACTCTTCGAATTTCATCTATGATCCCATCTGGCACCATAAAAACAGACATAGTGTATGTGACTTGTGATTGGGCCACTGCTTTTATTAGCACCTCCTTTGCCGCGATTGAGAGAGTTTGGTTTTTCCAGTGTTTTACCTTCTTCCTGACTCTATCAACTAGGTTTGCAAACACTGATCTCTTCTCCCTTCCAATAATAGTAGGAAAACCTAGATATTTCCCATGATATTCAACCTGTTTCATCCCCATAGTCATAGCCAAAACTTGACGCTGCTCTTGTCTAAGATTTGGGCTAAAGCTCAATTCAGACTTCTCAAGATTTACCTTTGGGCTAAAACTTCAGTCTGATGTCCATTGACTAGAAGGGAGTAAGATACTGTTTTTACACAGTTCATGATAATGCCGATCCATCTCTCATCAAAACCCAATTTTCTCATCCTCATTTCCAAAAAACCCCATTCAATCCTGTCATATGCCTTTGAGATATCCAATTTGGCAGCCAACAATCCTTTCTTGTTCTTCTTCTTCTGCTTCATAGCATGGAAGCACTCGAAAGCCACCAAAACGTTATCAGTTTTGTACCTTCCTGGCACAAAGCACTCTGTTGCTCACTCACCACTTGATTCAGAATTCCTTTGAGTCTATTTGCCAAGACCTTTGCCATGATCTTGTATAACACTGTGCATAGACTAATAGGTCTAAAGTCAAGAGGGGAGCTTGGATTTTTCGTTTTTGGTATGAGAGCCACTAGGGTATGGTTCAATTTTTGGGGAAAATCCCCTCTCTCTAGATAGCCTCTTAGTTCACTTGAAATCGCTGGTCCCACCACAACCCAATTTTTTAGAAAAACCTGGCTGGCATGCCATCAAACCCTAGAGCCTTGTCAGGTCCCATCTGCTTTAGGGCTTGCCATATCTCTTGATCTGTAAACGGTGCTAGAAGGGCCTCATTCATTTCTATGGTGATTTTCCTCTCTACCGCCTCCATCACCCTGCTTGCTCCCGTGTAATTCCCAGAGGTAAACAAAGTGCGCATGTAGCTTACTAAGCAGTTAGTGACCCCTTCCTGTCCAGTAAAGATTCTATCAGTGGTGTCCTTTAACTTTCGGATAGTGTTTCTTTTCCTGCGTTCCGAGGCCTTCCTATGAAAATAGCATGTATTTAGATCCCCAGACTTCAACCATTCTGCTCTTGAACGTTGCCTCCATTTCAATTCCTCCTGGCGGAGGATATCATTCAACTCATGCTCCAGTATCCTCTTCTGTGCCAGCACTGCTTTCGTTCTCTTCCTGTTCCTCGGCACCTTTATGGCTTTTTCATTTTTTCTTCTACGTTGCTTGAGTGATCCAAAAGCTGTTTTGCTCCATGACCTCAGCTTTGTTTCACAGTTCTTGACTCTATCCAGGATAGAGCTGCCTCCATACTCCTGCCATCCTTCCCTGATAAAATTTGCACAGTCCTCATGTCGTTCCCAATACCTCTCATATCGGAACGAACAACCCCATGTTACCTCTTCTTCCTCCAGTACAAGCTTCACATGTAGAGGGATATGGTCTGATCCACACCTATCCAGGTGATAGACCCTTATATTCGGGTAGCAATCTAGCCATTCCTTATTGCCTATTACCCTGTCCAGCCTTTCTTCCATATAATCCTCCTCCTCTCTATTGTTCTCCCATGTAAAGGTTCTAGCGTAGTAGCCACAGTCTTCCAAGCCACATTTTTCCAGGCATTCCCGAAACATGTCCATTTCCTTCACATCAGGCTCTCTGGTTCCACTTTTCTCATAGTAGTCAGTGATGAGATTGAAATCTCCCATCACCACCCAGGGTATATTGGCCTGTATGTGTAATCTCTCAAGCATCTCACAAGTCAGGTACTTGTTCTGTGATTCTGGCCATCCATAAACCCCTGTGAGCCGCCAATCCTTCTTGCAGTTTCCCATTTTTATCTTTGCATCAATGAAATGCAATGTGAGGTCCTTTACCTCAACCTGGACCTCTTCCCTCCACATCAGCAGCAGGCCCCCTGCCCTGTTTGCACCAGCTGCTACCCCTCTGCCATCAAAGTAACCAAATTCTCTTATCTTTGCTTTCCACTCACTATCATATTGCCTTGTCTCCAATAAGAAGACTATATCAGGATTTGTTTGGCGGAATTGAGCCCTCAGCTTCTCAACTGCAGGGGTATTCCCAAGACCTTTGTAGTTGTAGCTCAGAATGCTCATTGAGCTGGGCGGCCCTGCTCCTTGGCAGGGTCCGCCATACCGCCATCCATATTATTTTTGTTTGTTTCTTTTGGTACTAGTTCTTGATGCTCCTCTAAATTAAGCATTCTGGCCTTCTTGATTTGAATGTTCTGTGTAGCCCCCTTTCCTTCCTCTCCTTCAACCATTTGAACCTCTCATTTCTGCGGCGTGACTTGAGTCTTGGCAGGTGATCTAGGTTTTGTTTGATCCTGCCTCCTCCAGACCCTGCCACCACTCCTTTTCCTTTGGTCAGTGCCGCTTGAGCCCTGCACAAACAGTTGTAAAGCTCCACCCAGTCCCAGGTTCCCCAAAGTGGGAGCATTTGGTTCTTGTGTTGGCTTGTTATTTACGGTCTCAGTAGCCTCCCTTGTGTGCTCTACTTCTTTCTGCATATTTTGTAGCGAAGGAATTTCATCTTGTTTCTTTGTTGTTTCTTCTGCAGGTGCTATTTCATGATCTGAGTTTGAGCAAATGCTCTCCAGATCAAACTTCTTCTTCAACACTGACCATAACATAGCATCTTCCCGCTTTGTGGAGTGTGAGACCCAGCTTCTCGGCCCCTGAGGTCCTGCCCTTAAATCCATGCCAAAGGGGGTCAGGATTCAAGTCAGAAGGTTTTGGGAA